GGTAATACAGTTATTCAGTGGTAACAGGCCAAATTACCTGGCTAAAATAAATTGTTTGCTTCTGTTGTAGAAAAAATTGACGAGTGACAGTTTTAATTTTGTTTTAATATTCAATAAGATGTATTCATTAAAGTATATACTCTCACTAAAGCCAAGAATAAAAAAATTGTTTCTGATTAATTTTTTTTATGAAATTTACCTGCATAGTTGGATTTCATTGGTGCATGTAATATCCTGAGAAATGAATAGCATAGAAACATTGAATCACTTCTACTAGAGGAAGTGTATGGGGTTTATATTCATTATCAGTTCTCATAAGTCTGCCCATTGATCAAAAATGTTAAAACAGAAATTGCCAATCAATTCTACATATTCTACGGCGTATCAAATGTGTCAGTTTAAAAAATAACAACTTAAAAGGGTATCAGCCCCCTTTTTTCAAATTTTTGAATAAAAAAGTGAGCTAAAATGGCATTCATGGTGCCAACTGAGTATGTAATATAAAATGTTAAGTTGGTCGCACTACGCCTATGCAAACAACACCTAGGCAGCTAGAAATTTTGTTTTTGGTAAAATAAAAATGAATTTCCAGCTATATATATGCTTGTTTCGTGCTACTGTTTTTATTTACAATATTGTTCAAGACTTATTTTCATAGAGCTAATACTAGACATACACTGATTTGTTTGGATGACTTGAAAGGTATGACAGGCAGACCTGTAGGACGGGACTATAACAAGAAATATTGAGAATTTTGAGTATTCTACAGCTTGCTGCATTGCCTATAACCTAGATTAGACAGTTAAAAATATACTTGGGCCAATCTACATTGTATTTTTCACACTCAACTGAATATTTCATTTACCGTTGGTTCATTGACCAGTCTTTTGTTCATGGACTGCTTGGAAACTACGAGACAACATGTAAGGAATGTATTGCTCTGTTTGAATTAACTGATTTCAGTCAATTCACAGTCAGGGCCTCAAACCTTATCAAATTTCTTGTAAACCCCTGGATTAAGCATTGATCTGCTAGGCTGCATAATCTTACTGCCCATAGGTTGACGTCAGTGCAATGATATGTTGAGCTGAATGTCACTGTTATTTTTTCTATCATGTACAGTGAGTCATTGTTCTTGTATTTTCTAGTCAATTATTCATTGTAACATCTTTGAACCAAATAATGCACGACTGTACTGTGATATATTAAACTGAAATTTATACTTTATTAACCCAAGTTATAATACCTTATTAACCTAGATAAACCTAGCATGTAGTGTACATGTCCTGGACTTATAATGAAGGTCATTTGTGTACTTTGCAACCATTTTGAACTTCAAAACTTGTTCAAACTGTTTGTTGACCATTAATCTATAGTCCATGTCGATATTTGATGACAAAACTGTTCAATGAACTTTCATTGCAAATTTTCAATAATTACAAATTCAAAGAACTATCAATTTATAAACACTTATGTATTAGCTTTTTAGAAGCACACTCACAAAAACTAAAAATTTAGTGTTGAGTCATTAAATAAAAAATGGTTTATTTTTATGATAGCCACACCTCAGTTATTTACATAAAGTGTATACAAACTTAATAGAGAAAATATGATAATGAATTATTTGTATTTTCTTTGAATCTTTTTATGTAATAATAAACTTGCTTGTGATCCTGTAGCTCATATCTTTTAAAAATGCTTTTGATATACATGTTCCGGTAGTATATAAAATTAAAAACCAAAGGTGCGAAATTTTGTATTTTCTTTCGAATGTAAATTGATGTATTTGTGTAATATTTAATTTATAAATTGAACAATTTGCATGTTTATTTTTTGAGAGACCAAATTGCTCTGCTTCATAGAAATAATTTTGAGAATTATGTATTCCATTTTTTGTGGTACGTACTTATTGTTTTAAAGCATGTGGAAAATAAATCCACTATTTTACAGTAAAATTTTTGTTTTGTATTTTATTACTCCTTATATCAAGTTTCTAAAGTCGTCATATCACGGATTTCAGTAAAATTTATTGTTATTGCACCAGAACCAGTATATTAATAATGAAATATTTTTTAATAGAAGTTTTTCAATTCGCTGCCAGTATTTTTTTTAACTTTTTAAAGAACTGCTAACACCGAGTATAGACTAAAAGAGTAGACCCCTTTCTAGACTAGACACACTCATAAAATATCTCAATGGACACACCCCTGGTTTCATGAGATTTTATGCACACACCAACTTGAAGAACAACAACCATCCATAGATATCATGAATAACATGCACAGGTCACATTACAAGCAATCTCAAAAAAATAAAATTACGGCCCTCTTTGTAATCATTATCAGTGGCGGCGGCACAGGGGACAGAGGCCCCCTCGAAATAAATGTTGGGGGGGGGGGTCGCCCCTGCAAAATCAATCTGAAACCCTTTGTGTCAGCAAAATTTGCTCCTCAAAATGCAGGAAATAGCGTTTCAGAGGGTGTAGATTTCAAAATTGTTAAGGAGAGCATCCCCCGGACCCCCTTGTTCATTACTATCACAATGGACATGTTGAGGTGCTCTAGAAATACACTGTATTATATTGCATCACGAGCGCCCATGATATGAACATTCTGACACTCGCACTTGGACCCCTTCGTCACGGTTATTTCACAAATTACTACAAGCAGACAGCTGCAACTTATTTTGCGCGCACATTCTTCTTTTCGACAAACAGGCTAATAATCGTTATAATAAATTGGAATTCGTTTGTATGAAATAAAACCACGGCTATGTAAATTACAAGTATAGTAAAATACGAGTATAAGGAAAGAAGAGCTTAATTCTTAAAACTTATTTTATTTCAATAAGATTATTTTAAGTTTCTGCTCATTTTTTCTTCAAAAGTGGGGCGCTGAGGCATTTTTTTTTTACCGCAAAATGTTTGACGGAGAGCTGCCAAGAAACGTTATTTTTTTAGACCGGGAATTTACACTCCGCTTTCTGTGCATGTAACCGGGTAAATACGTGCCAGGGTCGACACACTGACGTCATCGGCCTTTAGCGTTATTGTTTGTGTCCATCTATCTGATTGGACAACCGATCGAACGTCCTAAATTTTGACCAATAAACAATTGCGTTATAGACGTTCTGTCACGTTGGGATTCCCCGGTTATTCTTAGAATGAAAAACTCCCCCGTTTTCCAGGTAAAGTTGCGTCACTCGGCCTGTACAAGATATACTTGTACGATCGGTACTTATTACGTGGACATTTAGACACGGACAACACAGACATGGCTCTGAACGGCGGAGAACCTACGCAACAACGCCACAACGACAAAAAATTGATTGAAGTTTTCGCCTGTAGGCTTGTCGACGATCTGTCCCCGGATAACATTCTCCCGCACCTGACCTGTCTAACCAGCGGCGAGAAACAACGTATTCAAAATGCACAAGACCAACACAACGATCAAAAAGCGACTGAAATTTTACTTCAGTGTATCATTGATAGTGATGAACAGGGGGCGTTTGCTGAATTTATGAACGCTTTAAAAAATACGCAAGGTATCGTATCATTTTTTTCCATTATTTTCCAAGTTTCAGTATAATGTATTTATATAGTATAGCATTATATAGCTGCAGTTCTGTAGCTCACGATTCCTCAAATCGCAATGTGGTTTTCCTTTTAAAAAATACCGAAACGTGAGTCGAATGTAGAGAGGGGGGCAGGGTACGATGTAGTCTTTGGTATCAACAGAGTACACTTATGCGCATATTCTGTTAACAGCTGTTTGCATCAGATGGAGTTGTCTGTGGTGGGACACCTTTGTAATGTGTACCACGTCGAGATCACTTCGTAATTGTTACCGTAGTGACATCGCGTACAGACGTTTGGATAATGACGTTGCAGTATTATTTAGGATCAACAACTTGCATGTTTAAAGTAAACATTATAAACATGTATTCCAGGAATTTTATGAATAGATTGTTTACTGATTGTATTCAGTAGTGGCAACTTCACAAATGCAATGCTTCACAATTCACCCCCCCCCCCCCGGCAAGTATTTATTGGAGGTGTGGCTATGCTAATGATCTAGTCCTCTTAATCACTTGCATAGTCTATGTTTACAAAAATTTGTAGTTTATTTACAAGTTCATAGCACTAATACCCATAAGCATCAATGTATATAACAGGTCAGTCAGACTTGCTTCCATAGAGTACAAACCAGAGCTGCATACTAGGCATTCCGTAATGAATGTGTTACAAAGTGATGTGGCATTGACCATTTCTTTGAATTACGTTTATTTCAATAATAGTGTTCATCTGAAATGCAGAATAACATATCATATCTATTTGCCACCTTCGCATCGTTGAACTACGATTCCATGGCGATGACCACGATGAACATATGCTTAAGACACTGTCAAGCTCGCTACGGTCAACAATAAAAAAATATTCTGTGATGAATTTCTTTTTGCGTATCTGTTGACTGACTTATTTAGTTGATTACTAGCGAATGGCTGTGTTATGTCTGTCATCGTTTCGGCCTATTTGAAGTTCTGGACGGAACTTGACTCAGTGATTTGGAACTAATTACGAGATAACCGTCGCTATTCGGACTACTAATTCTGACAGTTTGATATTCATAGTTATTAATGTAGTGAACGATTAATCAAAAGATATGACGTGTTCAGTACTTAGTGTGATTGGCTGTATGATTGAAGGCCACACCTTACAGTGTTTAAACTGCTTTGTAATTGGTTAAGTTTTTAATAAGTAATAAACAGTCTAAGTCGTTGGTCTCAGAGTGGGAGAGAGAGAGAACTCCACGAGAGACGCAGTCTAGGAGAGTCTAGATAGTCTTGGGGACTTTTCCCCAGGGCGCTGCGTCTTATAGAGTGCTCGACTGACTGACTAATACGAACGTTGAACCGTATTTTGTTGTGTGTGTCTTATTTGACTGTAAAGTTTAAGTGACTTTCCCGATCCCGTACCTCAAGGGGACGCGATAGAGAGACGAGACGAGATTCCCCCCTGGCAAGTGTGGAGAACCCTCAGAGAGAAAGAGATTCCCCGTGATACGTGAGTGGAGAACCCTGGGCAGGTGTTTAACACACATTGAGATCCTGTGAAGAAAAGTGAAATGGCGAAGGTGTGTCTTTCTTGCGAACCGAACTAACAGCTCGATGGCAGAGACGACTCGGAAACTGCGCTTGACGACTAACGACTTTACCCGGATGACACCGATGAACAACGCTGAAGAGATGAAGACTTCGGAGCCCCTTCGGAAGGACGAGTATCGAATAGAACTGAATAATCAAGAATTGAGCGACATTAAAGACAAGATGATGAAATAACGACCTGTACTAACGCGACGAAAAGAGAAGAGACGCTATATAGACTTTGAATTAGAACTTTAGCTATCTGTGTATTGCTTAGAGAACTGCTCGCTGGACACTGTAACTGACACTGTGTAACTCAAGACGTTGAACTCTTTTCCAGAATCCCAACACTATTGTTCAGTATGTAACATATTTCTTGCTTGCTTTTCCTATCGTTTTTACCGTTTTTTTGTGATGTTGAATTGTATGTTATGTAAGCGCCCAGATCTTTTTTTGAAATGATATTTAGTGACGTGCGAGGTCCTTTATAACGATTTAAGCGCGCCTCAGTGGACAAGTATTTGCAACACAGTGTTTTGAGTTTTGTGAAGTTTTATGATTTAATGAGTTTATGAGTACGGAATATGATGGGAGGAATGATGCCCCCACATGTTTTTAAGAGTTTTGAGATTTGTCGAGTACAGAGATATCAACGTTTTAAGAGTTGTTTTAGTTTACGTGTTGTTTCCGGAATACTTCTGATGCTTTTTGAGTTGATTTGAGTTGAGAGCACCTTTGTAACGTTTTTTAATGTCTTTTCGAGATGAGAGTGTGGTGCGCTTATATACTTATTGTTTGATAACGCAAGCTTTTGTTCATGATTGACAGAATTACATGTAACTTAGTAGTGTCTATCGTTTTTGCTTTTCCCCGTCTTTTTTGCCAGAGGAGTAATGTGTTATGATAGCTTTGTCTTTGCATTTCGTTTCCACGCCGTTTGACTTTTGTTTAGATTAACGACTTGTGAGTTCAGTTGAAGTTTATAAGCGTATATGACAGGAGTTTGATTAATAGCTTGTTTATTCATTGTTTATTAGTTACGGCTTTGCAATGCTTTAACCGAGAGACGCATCCCTGGTAATCACGTGATCAGGCTGTCGACTGCAGCGATTGGCTGATCGCTTGGTTACACCGCCACACCTTAGTTTTTTTTTACCTTTTGATGTAGAGTTTGTAACCTTAGTAACGAGAGACAGTGCAGCGAAGGGTTACCTCAGCGAACTGTTTGAGAAAAGTGAGTCGATTGGTAGCCTTTCCCTTGTTTTTTTATTTATAACCGTTGATATTTGTGACTTTATAATCAGTTCTTAATCAGTGTGTTTTACTCTTTTTGATTTATACCTTTTTATTAGTACTGTATTTAACCCGTATAACGTGTTATGCGGGAGGCATGGCTCAGTTTGAGTGAAGGGATGTGTGATGAATTTGTTTTTGCGTATCTGTTGACTGACTTATTTAGTTGATTACTAGCGAATGGCTGTGTTATGTCTGTCATCGTTTCGACCTATTTGAAGTTCTGGACAGAACTTGACTCAGTGATTTGGAACTAATTACGAGATAACCGTCGCTATTCGGACTACTAATTCTGAAAGTTTGATATTCGTAGTTATTAATGTAGTGAACGATTAATCAAAAGATATGACGTGTTCAGTACTTAGTGTGATTGGCTGTATGATTGAAGGCCACGCCTTACAGTGTTTAAACTGCTTTGTAATTGGTTAAGTTTTTAATAAGTAATAAATAGTCTAAGTCGTTGGTCTCAGAGTGGGAGTGGGAGAGAGAGAGAACTCCATGAGAGACGCAGTCTAGGAGAGTCTAGATAGTCTTGGGGACTTTTCCCCAGGGCGCTGCGTCTTATAGAGTGCTCGACTGACCGACTAACACGAACGTTGAACCGTATTTCGTTGTGTGTGTCTTATTTGACGGTAAAGTTTAAGTGACTTTCCCGATCCCGTACCTCAAGGGGACGCGATAGAGAGACGAGACGAGATTCCCCCCTGGCAAGTGTGGAGAACCCCAGAAGAGAAGATTTCCCCCCTGATAATTCACTGCACGGTGTTCACACTTTCACTCGCATAAATGCTGTTACTGATACGTGGCAATAGTAAAGATAATAAATTTGAGACGATGCATCACTGCGTACGAAAACCTTATGACTGATCACAGTCACTTGTAACACAAAATAAAACTGCTAGATGCCGACTAGTGTACATTTTCTAGTGTAGGCACACAGTTACGGCATGAATTTGCCATTTTCCTGAACACCAGTATAAAAGAAACGAAGAAGCCAGTAAATTAATTCGTACTGAGTCACATGTAACGTTTTAAAAAAAATTTTTGGTTCGTCATCGGAAACTCTGAAGATCATCCAGTCCGAGTCTCATTGCTGTTCCATTTACCGTCATATGCTGCGCTATTTCCGGAATACGCTCTTCATCACCAAGTAAAAGTAACAGTAAACGATACTAAACACTGTATTCATATAAAAACATGACTATATATAGGGATATTTCTGGCTCGTACTCTCTGTGGCAACTTTTTAAATTTGCAAACACGATTTTCATTGTCTTCGTTGAATCCGCTATGTGATAATGATAAAAGCATTAGGAACTGTGTAAATGTTTTTGGAGATTAGAGTCCAACCTATTTCAGCGGCCCAACGTCATGTGACATTATTAGTAGTTGTATCCCTTTTTCCAGTTTGTGTTTTTGACATTTATCCGACAAATCTGAACTTGTACACTATTTATTGTCATAAATACTATATATAATCACTGCTGTGATATTCATAGACACATACATCCACTTTGACATGACATAATCAACCTGTAAGTTTGAGAAAACGCATCTTTACCGGGGCTTGGCTGGAGCTGTTTACTTCAGCGTGACTTTCAAGGAAATAATCTCTAATGTTTAGAAGCGTATTTACCGGTATAGTATACCTGGGCCTTTAACTGTGAGACACAGCCCTGTTAATTACGTGATCCTACCAGCAGCTGTAGCCATTCTAGATGTATACTATTTGCGTGCAAAAAGTATACGTCTGAATGAATTTGTATATTTTATGTAAAAATCTTTGTATACAAGAAGTATCCTATATTTGGAACAGATTTGTATACAAATACTATACAAATAGTGTACAAAAATGGACTTTTTAGCTCTGCTGTCGACTTTGTCTAGCGGAGCTTATCATATGAGTGACTGTCCGTCATTGTCCGCGTCAATGTTTTCTTTTTCGACTTCTTCTTGAAAACTACAATTGTTACTCCTTTGATACTTGGTGTATACATGTATGTACCTTGGGCAGACCTCTTTCAGATTTGTTCATTTTTGATGAATATTATTGTCATTTTTGGTAAAAAGTGATATTTTTGACTTCTTGTTAAAGGGGAACCGCTCAA